TAAAAAAAAGCTATGTTTAATGAATAAGGAATGACCAAATAATCAGCTTGATGAATTAAGTACCCATTATTAATGAGTGTGAAGAACAAGAAACCATGTTAAATAGTGGGAAGACTTCTGGTCTCAAAGTCAGATGACTGGGTTTAGGTCATCTCTACCACTTACTGAGTGACCTTGAACAATTTGTCCCCAGAATCTTTTTCTCATTAAAAAGTGATTCCTTTTTTCTGTATTAAATGAGGTGTTTCAGTCTCCAGTATTCTCACCGTCTCCTCACAGTAAGACGTTATTCCATGGTCAGGCATAACTAGGAGGGTTGCATTAGCTAGTGAAATGAGAACATCAATGTGAGTCACTTCTAAGAGGAATCATTTATCACTAAAGAGATTCCAGCACTTTCTTCCTTGAGATGGTAGCCAATGTCAGACAGCTGCCAAGAGGCAGAGCTGATTTTGTGTGAGATTTGTATTTTCCTTTTTCAGTGTTCAATTTTTTTTTTTGAGGTAACAGTGTTTACCTCATTCTATGTGATTTATTTTATCTTCTTGTGGGACCCTCGCCTGTGGCTGGGGATCGAACTGGCACTACAGAGGCTGCGGGCAGCCTCACAGCCCAGCGCTCAACCGCTGCGCCACCAGGGGAAGCCCTCATTGTATATGATTTAGAGATATAAGGTCATCTCCTTTAGGTTTTGTTACCATACTCACCAACAACATACCCCAAATCCATGGATACCATAGACTATTGTGCTCCCTCCTCACTTTGCTCTACCCACTCCTGCTCCCCCCTAAGGTAGCCTCAGTTCTACAATCAGATTTCTGGGGTTTGTTACTGGTTTGGCTTTAACTGCCCCCTTGTTTTGTTTCTCTATATTCTACATATAAATGATACCATCTGATATTTGTCTTTCTCCCCTGATTTATTTTACTTAGCATAATCCTATCCAGTTTCATCTATGTTGTCACAAGTGGCAAGAGTATCTTTTTCATGGCTGAGTAGTATTCCTCTCTCTGTGTGTGCGTGTGTGTGTGTGTGTGCGCACGTTGCATCACATCTTCCTAATACACTCATGTCTCTTTGGGCACATGTTTCCATAGCTTGGCTATTGTAAATAGTGCTACAATGAACATAGGCGAGCATGTATCTCTTTGAATTAGTGTTTTTGCATCACTTGGGTAGATGCCTATGAGTGGAATTCCTAGATCATATGGTAGATCCATTTTTAATATTTTGAGAAGGCTCCATCCAGTTTTCCATAGGGACTGGAGAAATCTACATCCCATTAACAGTGTACACAGATTCCTTTTTCTCCAAATCCTTGCCAACACTTGTGTACACTTGTTTTCTTAAGCCAGTGAGATTTGGCAGGTTGTTGAGCATAACCTATCCAGACTATTAGTGACCTCCTCTGTCTTGCTTAACACTATATCCACATTATCTGAAACAATGCCTGACACAAAGTCAAATCTCAAGAAATGTTTGTAGAATGACTGTGTCCTAGGTGTTAGGTGTTCTTTTTTGGCGTTAGTCAGCAGATAACTTTTATTTGGCATCGACGAGGAAGAGAGCTTTCTAAGTGCTCAAAACTTCCTAAATGTCAGTAAGACTTGATTTGTCTCCTCCACAAACTCACATGTTGAATGACCCCCAGAGCTCAGATTTTGACCTTGTTTAGAAATAAGGTCCTTGTAGAGTAAATTAGTCCAGATGAATTCATATATACTGAATTGGGGGGCCCTAACCCAATGATGGGTGTCCTCACTAAAAGGACAACATGCAGCCAATACATGAAGATTAGTTGGGCTGCCATGATCCAGGAAATTCCAGAAGCAGGGAGGGAAGCCTGGAACAGATCCTTCCCTAGGGCGTTCAGAGGGAGCACAACTCTACTGACACCTTGATTTTGGGCTTCTAATGCACATAATTATGAGGCAATAAACTTCTGTAGTTTAAGGCATCCAACCTGTGATACTTTGATACATGGCCGTAGCAAGCTAATACAAGAGTGTTATACATTGTCTTGCTTTAATAGAGTGGCTGCTCTCTATACAGGAGCTTGCATAGAACTATGGCTAACATTTCCTCTTGCTCCTGTTCTATTCTCTCCTTTCCATAAATATGGGGGTGGGGGATGTGATTCCTATCTATTGGACCAATGCTTATGGAGTCCGCCACATTGTATAATCTTTTATAATATTAGAGTATTGGTTATCCAAACCTATAAATCACCTCAGAAACCAAATATTACAATGATGAAGGCAGCGTTTAAAAGCAGAAGGACTCACAAAAGGAATATGCGAAATATTACTAAAATCTGAATGTTGATGTTTCTGATTGTGGTCCAGGCAAGATGGCATATTATTTGTTTTTCTCTGGTCCTCCCTCCTAAGCACAGCTGTAAAACCTGAAAATGACAAAAGAGACAACCAAAGGAGAAATCGGAAAGGTGATAAGACAGTGCACAAAGCTTGGGCTCTCAGGACCACAGCATAGCACAGTGGCAGGCACATACACCCCACCATTTGACAGGAGTGACCTTCCTCACCCCTGACCTTGTAATGGAATCAGCCCAGATAGGCTCATTCCTGCCCTGTATACAGCAGTGGTCCCACTGGCAAGCACGATACCACCTGGCAAGAGCGACTGATTGGGAACCCAACCAGAAATAAGCCACCAGGGGAGGCACCCTTCTTCTCCACAAGGCACGAGACTCCCCTTTCCAGTAATAATTACCCAGGTAGGTGCATGGTTTGAGCCTGAGGGAGAGACCCAGCTCTAGTGGGTGACCTACAGCTAGGAAGGAAGCTGCTTTATTCCTGGGAATTATTCCTAAAAGAGTCCTTCTTTGTTCCAAAGAGTCCTAAGACTCTTTTCCCTTGCCCAGAGACACCAGGGTAATGGAGTAACAATTAGAGGACCCCCTTTTCCCTTCTCCACTAACCCCTCCATCATCCCCCAGAGGCTGCATCAGCAGAGACTAACAGAAACCCCAACAGCATCATATAAACTAAAAAAACACAAAATAACACCACAAAGCTCTGAAAAATTAAACTTCCACTAAAACCACAGCACACAAAAGTATGCCAGGACCCACATGCTAATCCTAAATAAGATGTCTCTTAAAATAAAGAGTTAAGTAGGACCTAAAGTCTCCTAACATAATAGACAAACTAGTATATTAGTGACAACTCCTGTAACACACCCAGAACTATGAAATCACAACTTGAATAAGGAAAGACAATCAATGAATGTGACACAAAGATGAATCTTGACAAAGCTTTTCAAGTAGCCAACTTAAAACCGCAATTAGACTGTCAATTAGAAGTCCCCCTGAAATAAATTTAAAATCAGAAAATCTCAACAAAGAATAGAAGTTATAAATAAGAGCTGAATGGAAATCACAGAACTGAAAAATACAGTAACCGAAATGAGAAGCTTACTGGATAGGTTCAATGTCATTGTGAAATCGACAGAGGATGGAGTCAGTAAACTTGAAAACAGAACAACAGAACTCACCCAGTCTGAATAAGAGTAAGAAAAACTGGAAAAAAAAGTGGCAGAGCCTATCGACCAGTGGGATAATTACAAAGATCCAACACCCATATCAATAACATCAATAGGCTAAAAGGAAAATACATGCCATGCAAACATTAAAAAAAAAGTCAAAAGCAGGAGTGGCTATATTCATACCTGATAAAATACACTTAGGAGCAAAGAAAATTACCAGAGATAAAGAACATTACATAATGATAGAAGGAACACCTATCCAAAATGTGTACATACCAGACAATAGAGCCTCAGAATACATGAAAAAGAGCTGAGATAGCTAAAAAATGACAAAGACAAATCCATGGTTATAACTGACAATTTCACCACCTCCCTTTCAGCAATGGATAAAACTAACAGCAATACTCAACAATACCAAAACACTTTTTTCAAGTTCCTATGTAGGCGATTGAATCTTATAAAACAATATGTATACAAACAGATACAAGTAAAATTGGATTATCTGAATAAGTTTGGTGGACGTGCCAAAGTCAGTGTCCTGGTTGTGTTATTATACTATAGCTTTACAAAAGGTTACCTGTGGGGAAAACTGGGCATTATTATTATTATCTCTCTGCATTATTTTTTACAACTTCCTGTGATTCTGCAATGATTGCAATTAAAATTTCAATTAAAAAAATCCAAACGCTTACATGCCATTACACGAATAACATTTCTTTTATAAATGAGGATAATAAAGTTGGATGGCTGGAAACTGACTTAAGATTAGAGGTACAAAGTAGGTATGCTAGAACTCAAAATTCAGCCCCACACAGCTTCAAAATCCATGAACTTAATCACAAAACTATTCTGGCTGATAACTCAGAATATACTGTGAATGATTTAATGGTTCAATTAATTGAGTAGAGAAGTGAAAAAAAGTAACTGTTACTACAAAGGGTAAACAATTTTATGCTTGCTGCTAACATGACATAAACATTAAAACGTTTGCTTTAAAAATGGGATACTAGGGCCTCTCCAGTGGCACAGCGGTTGAGCGCTGGGTTGCGAAGTTGCCCGCAGCCTCTGCAGCGCCAGTTCAATCCCCGGCCACTGGGTGAGCGTCCCAAATGGCGCGCAGACCCCTCCTGCCGCCTGCTGCTCCCCTCAGCAGTGTACCTCGGTCCTTCTACCTGTTCTGCTCCCTGCTCTGGCTCTGGTGAATTCTCCCACCCTCCTGCGCTTCTGACTGTACCCAGTGCTTGTATAAATAAAATAAATAAATCTTTAAAAAAAATAAAATAAAATGGGATACTAGGAGTGAAGTATGAGTGAAGTATTAAGACTACTATATGTATATGGAATTTCAATCTCAGGCTCCTAAAAATATAGTTCATTTTAGGCCAATAATTACAAAATTCAACTATAAGATCATTCATTGATAACAAACACCAAACAGCCCCCATACCTCTTGGTAATGCCAGGCTTCAGATTAAAATAAAAATATCATAAAACAAATTTCAGCAAAATAATTTTATTTCCTAACACATGGGAAACAGACATCCGCATTTACCTTGCACATTTCACTTCCAAATAACTACCGCTTTGATATTTAAGCATGTACCAAAAGTTATCTTAGTTGAGATATGCTAAATGCTTTTAGGTAGATAATATTCCGAATATATATGTTTGGTCACAGCAGAATTTGCTTTAGTTAGTTTAGTTCTATAAATTTAAAACCATGAATTTAAAGCCCTGAAAAGCCACTACTTTTCCATCTAATACTTCCAGATGAATAGGATACAGCAACGTCAGCCAGAATTTCAGAGATATTTTCTTAGTTTTTCTGGTGATGGAACCACTTGTCCACTGCATTCAGAGAAAAGAGAAACAAATTAGAATTCCTGTTAAGTATCAAAATTTGTCCAACATATAACACAAAGAATAATATACTAGCTTTTTGTATCCTATTGTGTTTTACCTAAAAACAAATCTACAAAAATGCCGAGTTTCACTATGACAAAAATAGGCAATTTATCATAGCATTGTCTGGGCCTTCCTTACTTCTGATACTAATTGTATAAATATGTGATTTGTACAACTCACACGGGAAAACCTTACAGAGAAATCTCACCTCTACAGGGGAGAGAACTATTTTCAGGGGGAAGCAGCTTGTGGTGAGAGGGAGTCACAGAGCCCAGCCTGCTTCAATGCCTTCAAGGCATCTACCCAGAACTCAGAAGAAAACGGGGTCCTGGTTTGGAAACTGCAGTGAGAGGGGGGCACTGAAGGTGGCACTTGTTCTCACATACCATGGCACGCCAATGTGACCCTTCACCCCTACCTTCTCTTTCTCCATATGTAGGTGGTATGTAAGCTATATCTATATCTGTAGATCTAATTTCCCCACATATATGTAATTTTAATATCATTTCTAGAATACAGATCTTACCATCGCTTGGTACTGTGCAGGCAGATTCACATGGTGGTGGTAACTAAAACAAAGTATTAAAATGTATTAGGATAATCTGAGAAAGAAAATAAGTATACTGACACAAAAGTTTAAAATAATTTGAGGGCCTCCTTGGCACACAGGGGTTAAATTCTCAGCACTTTCAAGCTGTCACAGGGAGCAAACCCACATATGGGGCAGCAGACCTCTCTTGTCTTATCCACTGCTCCCCTCAGTAGTATATTTCAGTAGATCCACCTGTTCTGCTCCCCGCTCTGTCTCTGGTGAATCCTCTCACTCCCCACGCCTTTAGCCTACACCCCAGCTCTTGTATGCATAAATAAAATAAATCTTTAAAAATAAATAAAAGTAAATCTTTCAAAATAAATAAATAAATAAACATAAGATAATTTGAAATGAAGACAATTATCCCAGTCTTTAGGTTCTAAAAATAAATCACAAAATGTAGGAATAATGCAAGGCACACCCTACTGCTAAGAGATGCTAACAAATTCAAGTCTCTGTGACACACAGTAAAACAAATAATAAAAAACAAGTTTTTCAAGATGAAGAATAAAAAAGTATGTATATATGATGAGTCTATATGGGCAGAGTGAGAGAAAAGTAATGATGTTGACCAATGGCTTTTCCCTTCCAATTTTTCTTTTTCATTTTAACTGTGTCAGGATTATTTATGAAGGTGAATAAAAATGTATTGGCTTCATTGCTAAATTGTACTTTTTCCTTGTATCACCCCCATTTACAAAGCAGTAAAAAAATTAGACCTCATTTTCTTTTGTTCTCCTTATTTATTATTGTAAATGAGGGTAAGATGATATAGCTCATCTAGATGATAAATTCAGTCTTACAGTTAATCCAGGTCAGATATTTAAAAATAGCAATAACCAAAATTACTTCTCTAACAGACGGTTTACTAGCTCACATGAAAGTCTTTTAGGATTATAAAATACTTCTGCAATGGTTCTGAAATTTGCTAAGTTTCTCAGACACTGAAAATGGCTTAGACAGGTACACAGACTCTTCAGTTAATTGGTATATTCTAGAATCATTTTCACTTTTACAAACTGTTCCACACTGCCATGTGCTCCCCCCTCAGCCAAATGCATGTTCAGTTTTTGCTCTCAAGACCTCACAGTAATATGCATGTAGGACGCACTGAAATATTTGCTAAAAGAAAAACTTTCCCTCCCATTTCAACAATAAGTTTTTAGCTTTTTTTTTTTTTTAAAAGGAAATGTTTACATACAGCATCCACAATGGCTTTGGCAGCATCAGGATCACACTTGAAGGGACTCTCAGACACTGTTGTATTCATGCTATTAAAGAAACAAAAGTAGTAATAAGTTATAGCAACAAACATTACTCTCTGAGTAATGAGTGAGTTAAAAAAGAAGTTGAAGATGGCAGACCAGATGAGATTCAGGCTTGATTTAGTTGCACATTTTCTCACCTATATTACATATTCTAATGATTTATTTGGTAAGGTAGATAGCTCTTCTTGTGGTCAATTTTATTCAAACACCTTAGGTCCAGATTTAAAAATCTGAGACTGAATGCGTTGTTATTCTCACTAAAATAGCTAAGAAATGCAAATTAAAGTGAGGAATACACCTTTTCTAAAGAGATAAAATGGGGGGAAAAACATACAAAAATCCTGGTTCCTCTCTGAGATAAACATTTCTGGTAGAAGTAACATCTGGTTCAATATTCCTAAGAAATAATCAGGTAAAATGTGTCCAAAACCTTTTTAAAAAATTCATATGGTCTGATAGAGAAATCTACCTCTCAGAACACAATCAGAAATTTAAATAATCTATTATTATCTGGCTACCATCTAATTTTCTCAAGTTTTACAAATTTAATGGTGATAACATCATCTTGCTAAATGGCTTGAATAAGCTATTTAAAATTAAGTTGTGGAATTTAATCCTTTGTCATGTGTTGTTTAAAAAGAAAAAAGAAACTAGGAAAAGCTGTTTCATGATACATAAAAAACAATGTTATAAGTAAATCTTTCTTTATGAGCTTGTATACTTTGTTTGGAAAGGACTTCCCTATTATAGGCTATTTGAAAAAAAAAAAAAACCTGTAATTTTTTGAGAATTTTTTAACATTTAATTTTATCTGTCTGGAATTAAGTATTGATGGAAGGCAATGTTTTCAAATTCAAAGGGCCAGCACCCAGTTGACACAAAGGGTATAGAACAGCTAGAGGTAAGGATGCTGGTGCTGGGCTGATAACACCATCTTTTAAAAGCAAAGCAACTAGACTGGCGGTGGCGGCTGCAAATGTGCCTCTCTAGCATAAGGAATGTAAGAAGCAACACCGAGATCTAGTCTGATTTTCTTTCTAAAGAGTCAGGTGGTCCAAACCACTCATCCAAAATACTCTTGATTCTAAACTAAATTCCTGTACATCTTTAGGTCTACCAAACTCTAACAGAACTGAATGATTTGACATTCTTCTTCAGTATCAAACTTGGTAAAATAATATTACCAAATAATACTCAAAATAATTAACACTCCTTCCCACCACCATTACCCATGTTTTCTTTTTCCTTCCAGAATTTCCCTTGCTGTTCTCACATGCTAACTTTTTAAAGATGAAAGTGAACGTTATTCACAAATATAATCTACCTTTCTATTTAACATTTTTATTTCTCGATAGAGTCTTAAAGGTTTTCTTCTTCTGAGTCCTTCAGATTTCTTGTTTAAACCTTGGTAGTTGTTTTATAAAATAGTATTCTCTGTGGGGTCTTTTTCTCCATTATAGTTTCTATTATAGTATGTATAGGGAGCTGGCAATATACATATATGCTCATTTCATAATCAGTAACTTCACTGAATTCCTTATGTTGCTTCCCCATTTCCAATATTCCTGCATCTTCTTTCTCTTATTTACTTCATGGACTATTATTTCCAATAACATTGGAACGATTATCTCCAATAGTAGACATTCTCTTATAAAGCTTTAAATACCTAAGAGAAAGTATACTGCACTGAACATGGGATGGGGGCAGTAACAGAGTTGGATGAGAGCTCTAATGCTGAAATACTTAATATGTGGTGACTTGGTTAAGTTTATTCTCCCTAACATCTCTTACAAGCTTGGTAAGTACTAACTGTTCAATAAATACTAGTTATTATTATTAGTGGTAGTTAATTCCATGTGTATATAGTAGATATGGCAGTTAAGCTGCAAGGCATTTTACAAATTTTCATAGAGCAATTACCAGCCCTTGCACTCAACCTGATTTTACCCTTTGCTTTTTGAGCACAGTGATTTGAGGTATCCTGTCCTGATTACCATAACAAAGGGTAATCACTGTCCCTTTTTCATTTAGGTCTGGATTATCTAATGGGCACTTTGCAGTTATTTATGTATTTACCTTCCCACTCACCTAAGCACTGACTGACAAAACTGGTTATCTCTTTCCTAAGTGAATGTAATGGAGCAATGTGTTATGGTTATTAAAACCTTTGAAGCAAACTGATCGGCTTTGTGCATTTAACGCATAGTTAATACTTACCAGCTGATTCCTTTTCCATCCGTTTTCTTGGTCACTAATGCTCTCCAATGGTCATGAGTGCTTTTAATAATATCAACTGCGAAGTCCTATAATTTGAAGAGCTATGCATTACAATGATAGAAAAGTTATCTTTTCTTATTAATAAACCTTTCCTTAAAGCCTGTTACACCTTTGTCTTTTTTTTTTTTTTTTTGGTGGGACCCTCGCTGGCGGCTGGGGAACGAACCGGCGCTGCAGGAACCGGCGCTGCAGAGGCTCCAGGCAGCCTCGCAGCCCAGCACTCAACCGCTGCGCCACCAGGGGAGGTCCTACACCTTTGTATCTTTTGAATCACTTCCTTGTGTCAAAAATGGAAGAAAATATTTAAATGAATAAAATCAACATCAGGGCTGTCTCATGTCTTTAGACACTTACTTGATGGCCATTAAGTCTTCAAATGGTAATAACATAGTTAATTATAAGTCTCAAAACAAATGCCAAAGCTATAGTTGTCAATGGCACATTACCTTATTTTTAAATTCTGCATTGAAAGCAAACTGGTTCTCTGGTTTTCCATCAGGAACTTTGTACCTTCTAAACCAGTCCACAGTAGCTTCCAGGTAGCCAGGTTTCAGTCGCTTGACATCATTAATATCTAAGGTGAGAATAAGCAGGTTGCAAGATACATATGTAATTCTGCATTAAAAGAAAATATCAAGTACTTAATTTGAGAGAGCTATGAGATGGATTATCAAAAAAATTCAAGATTATGTGAGAGCAAACCACATTGATGAGAAGAACACACACATATACACACACACATAGGAAATCTTAGAGAGCCTTAGAATAGCTCTGACAAGAAGTGCTAAGAGAAGAATCACAACAACAGTAGTATCTACTAGATAAGAGAGATGGCGAAATGACTGGGGCTACATGATAGAAGATACTAAAAAAGACAGGCTGTATTCAGAGGATCACATGCAAATTCAGTACTAAAAGACAAGAAAAATGGACTAGACTGAGAGCCATTGTTGGCTTACATGTTTGTTTTTATCTTCTAACTCCGTATCTTTCTCTTTACTATCTTTTTATTAACCTTGCCTCTAGTTGATGACCTAATTCATTCATTTAGTTATTAGTCTTCTTGTCCATTCCAAAATGGGTCTCACTGGGCTAAAATCAAGGTGTCAGAAGGAGAGCCTTCTGGGGGCTCTTAGGGAAAACCCTTTACCTTGCCTTTCCCAGTTTCTAAAGGCTGCCCACATTTCTTGATTCATGTTTTCTCTCAGTCTTCAAAGTTAGTACGGTGAGTCAAGTCCTTATCACGTCTCTTTCTCTGACTCTTCTGCCTCTCTCTTCCACAGGATAAAGGACCTTAGGATTGTATTGGGTGTACCAGACAACCCAGGAAAATCTCCCAATTTCAAGATTGACTTCCATCTCTAACTTTCTCCCTTGTGAAGCAGCATGACATATACACTTGTTCTGGGAGTTGGGAGATGGACATCTTTGGATGGGGGCAATAATCTGCGCAGCACAAATGATGACACTGTAATGGTGTATACGCGACAATGTGAATTTGTCAAAATTCACAGAATTATATGGTAGCAGAATAAAGCAGGCCTCCTTCCAAGAAGTCACCTCCTGATGTCCAGAACCTGTGGAGATGTTACCTTGCACGACACATGGACATGGACTTTTTCAGATGTGATTAAGGCTAGGATTGTGAGATTTGGCGAGCACTCTTAACCATCCAGGTGGGTTTGTCTAATCACATGAGTCCTTAGAAACAGAGAACCTTTTCCAGAGGAGGATGTGAGGCAGAAGAAGGGTCATTTCTTGCTGATTTTAAAGATGTTGATTTTAAAGGTGTTGAAAGAGGAGGGCACATGCTATAGAAGCTGGAAAAGGCAAGGCAAGGGGTTCTCCCCTGGGAGCCTCCAGAAAGGATACAGTCCTGCCAACACCTTGATTTTAGGTTGGTGGAATAATATAGAATTTCTAAGAGGTAATTGTATAAAGGCCTACATATATAATTTTATTATCACATGTTAAGCTTGGTTGTGTGTAAGATGTAGGTATAAAAATTTTAGACTCTTCAGATTTCCTTACCATTATAATTGGCTGCATCAGGATCATCCACATTGATGGCAATGACTTTCCAGTCGGTTTCCCCTTCATCAATCATAGCCAATATGCCCAGAACTTTCACCCTGATTATTTCCCCTCTTGCACACACCTGAGAGACAACAACCACAGTCAGGACAATACTAAAGAGTAAAAGATGCCAAGTTCCTGCAAAATTACCTTAAGAATGTTCCTTTAAGCAATTTTAAAAATCTAAAAGGCCCAACATGTCATAGCAAAGATGAAAATATTACCCCTTATTACTTATATCCCTAAGAAAATCAGTAATGTAGTTCAGGGTAATTAATAAGATAAATCCTCCATTGAGTTAGGTAAGTCATACAATGTGACTAATATTATGACTTCAAGTAAATGACAACTTCCTTTTCAATAGTTAACTATTCCCCTGAACCCAAGAAAAATCATGAAGCAATACAACTACAGTCAGAATCTCTAAAGCAACCCTACTTGATAGACAAATCCCTACTATTAATCTCCAATTTGTGAGGCTATTTGGAATGGGTCAATTCACCAACCTCTCCAAATCATTAGGTAAGTCTTGCCTTGTACTGAGATCAAGTTTGCCTCCTGGTACTTTTTACCACTGACCACTGCATTCTAAAGCAATGAATGCATCCACTTCCACAAATATATGGAGTTAATAGTGCATATTTTTTCTAGACTAAGTTTAAATGTACAAATGATAATATACAAATGCTTAGATGTAAAGGAGGCTTTTATTGCCCAAAGAGACATCATTATTTCACTAGTATTCATATAATTTATCCACAGTAGTCTTCAAGTATAAACTATACATATTTTATTAATGTCATCTCAACACTGAAAAGAAATATTCATATTCCATTACCTTGCTTCCAATTTCACACACATCAATTGGATCATTGTCACCACAACAGCCAGTGTGTTTGTCATTGTGTCCTGGGTCTTCCCAAGTCTTTAAAAAAAAAAAAAAAGGCTTAGAATATAGCATTCCTACACATGCCACTGACAAAGTGGTCATGTTGACATTAAAAGACAACATCCCATGAGTCCTTCAGCAAAAACAGAAATCTTAGGCCATTTTTTTTTCTCATTTTACAAGAAAGTCTTTCACATCTAAGAATCTTAGCTACCCACAACAATGTTAATAAAATGCCAAAGCTCCTATTCTGCATATAATGCTAAATTAAATTTAAGTCTTAAAACAGATAATGACCCTCTTTAAAACAAACAGAAATCCAATTTCCTAACAATTGAGACAACACGAGAACACAAACACAGACCCAAATATTTAACTTAAAAATATATTAAAAGAAAAGTGCTTTGATGAAGTTTTTATTTTTACTATCTTCTATTAACTAGATCTTCCTTAAAAGTAAATTTCTAAAGCAGAGGTAGTTAGCAGTGGTACTAAAATGAAAACAAACTGTTCTGATGGCAAATGTCATCGCTGACCAGGGGCCAAGACCAAAAAGTTTAATCAGACTTTCTGAAGCTTTACATTTTGGGCTTTCATTGCTGCTAAACTGTAGGACAGAGTCCTTGCAGAGCATCTCACAAAAGAATGGATGCCCTGTGTTTGCAAGAAAGTTAGCTTCAAATGTAGCTGTTGTTCTGGTTCTTTTCTCCCTCAATCCAGAGCATACTTCGCAAATTTGTGTGCCTACTCAGCTGGAGTAAAGGGAAAAAGATAAAAGTGAAAGGGGATAAAAGAAGACTGGATCCAGCAAAGTCAAATTCAACCTCCAGAAGAATAAGTATTTCACCTATGTTTTCCTAAAGGAGTCACATTTCAAGGCTAAATACTAAATCAACTGAAGTACAATATGAAAGTGCTATAATTAAAGCAAACAAATGACTTTATGATTACTTAACAAGTTAGAAGAGTTTGACCTTTTTTTTGTTAACTTGCAAATTGTTTCACAGTAGGTTCTACTTAATAGACATAATGGTTAATAAAAACAAGCCACTTATTAATAGGAAAAAATAATTAGTGATTCTTCATTCAGGTATTAAATAAGAACACTACATACTGGCATTGTACGGGGGATAAATTGGTAAATAATGCAGATATGGCCCCTCTTCAAAGGATTGTCTGTTTAGGAAAACAGAATCCCATTATTTACACAAAGAGCTGGGTTTATAGGAGGAATCAGGCTGCTAAATGTGAGGTTCAACAGCTGTGAGAACTTACATGTGCCAGGAGCTAAGTGCTTTATTGCTCACAATAGTCATGTGAGCTAAGTACTATTAATATCTCAGAGGGAGATATTAATGTCTCAGGGAGAAAGAAATAAACAGATTAGATAAAGTAGGAATTGGCAGATTTGGGATTTGAACTCTAATCTGCCTGGTGCCAAAAATTGGTTTTTTAAATCATCACTTTCTATTGTTTCTTAATAGATTTGCCACTCATTCTGTAAAGAGTCTTTATAGCTTATAAGCAGTCCATAAAGAAAAAATTAGTATTTAAGAAAAGAACAAACTTTCCAATGTGAATTTAAATGTTATATTTAGCTTTCAGTTTCTCTTGAAGATGTTATTCAAAGAAATAATGAGTTTATTATCCCATGTTTTTTAAATCTACTGTAGCAAAAACTTTTTAAAGAAGTTTAAATCTTTTTTACTTGTACAAGATTAGATTTTTTAAGTTAAAAAGTACATTTTTAGCAACTACACAGAGACATACCTGAGGGATGGCCCCATAGTTCCAAATATATCCTTTGTAAGGAAACAAATTTGCAACATAACGGAGTTTTCCTTTTTTCACATCTTGCTTAATTGGATTTAAAGGGTCCTTCGTAGCAATCTGAAATGAAATGAAAATTCAAAGCATTGTATATTTGGATGTGAAATACTACTCAAAAAAGGATTTGAGATGAATGATGAAATATAACTCCCCTTATTTCACTTTAACAATATACTTTATTATATATGTACATGATATGTGCTATATATATTTTATTCCTAATTTCTTTATAATTTGAAAATAAGTTTCTCCATAAATAGCCCTTAAGTGGTAAACTTATTTGGGGTATACACAAACTATCAAGGGAGAAACTGATTTTCTCTCAAGAATCTCTATTAAAAAGGTAAAAGAAAGGGCCTCCCCAGTGGCGAAGTGGGTTGAGTGCAGCGCTGAGAAGCTGTCTGCAGCCTCTGCAGCGTGGGTTCGATTCCTGGCCAGCCAGGGAGATTCCCACATTGGTGAGGCAGACCTCTCCTGTCTCGCTCACTACTTCCCTCAGTAGTGCTTTCGGTCCATCTGCCTGTTCTGTTCCCCGCTCTGTTTATGGTGAATTCTCTCACCCTTCTGTGCCTCTGGCCTGTACCCTGGCTCTTGTATAAATAAAATAAATCTTAAAAACAAAAACAAAACAAAAAAAAAGGGTAAAAGAAATACTAATTACTACCCAACTTCAGCTTTCCTGTAAGCACTTAAATTAATTCAAATATCTGAGTGTTAAATGCAAAGTATATTTACTGTGAAAAAGCATAAATGATAAGATATGCAATAAATATCTATAAAAGTCAAATAAGTGTCCATTAGAAAGAGATTTACAAAATGCAACAGAAATTACAATAAGATCATTTGTAGCTGGAGTGCTGAGGAAAGCCTGCTGACTAGGTGGAGGAGTCAACAAAAGAGAGAACAAGACAGGCAAAAGAAGGGTAGTTTTCGGCTTTGGGAATGCCAGAAGCAAAAGTATGGAGGAGGAAAGTCTATAGAATTGTAAATTTGCAAATGGTAAATGCTTGAGTTTAGTTAGAACACAGAGGGACGATTCACAGGCAATGAAAGATATAAATGGAAAACAGATTGGAAATAAAAAGCAGAAAACTTTAGGTTTTAGTTATTTAACCCTTGAGCAAATCGATGTGGCTAGATCAAAACTAATAGGCTAAAAAGAAACATACCTCCATTTTTGCATTAGACCAGCGTGGTACTTCAACCACCATGTGGAACACATCCTGAAAAACAGACAGAAGGGAAGATGTCACAGGAGCTAATTTGTCCTCTTTGACACCCTCACTCTGTTCGTTGTATCAGATCTTTGAAGTCAATGGAGGTTCAACAAAATTCATAAATAATAAAAGACAGACTGATAGATAAGGAGAGAAAATAAATATAGCAAAATATTATAGAATCACACTAGGAGTTCACTATAAAGGTAGACTGTTCACTATAAAGTTCTTCAAACTTTTCTGTATGTTTAAAATTTTCATAATAAATTGTTGGGTTGGGGCCTCCCTGATGGCACAAGGGGTTGGGCCTCAGCACCATGAAGCTATCTGCAGCCACTACAGCATGGGTTCAATCCCGGGCCAGGGAGCTAACCCACATGGCGCGGCAGACCTCTCCTATCTCGCCCCACTCTTCCCTCAGCAGTGTATTTCAGTCAATCTGTCTGTTCTGTTCCCCACTGTCTCTGGTGAATCCTCTCATCCCTCGCACCGCTGGCCTATACCCTAGTTCTTGTATGCACAAATACATAAATCCTAAAAAAAAAAACCAAATTGTTGGGGTGTCGAAGTAGTTTCTATAAGAAAAAGGAACCATTTTTAACGATAACAGAACTTTGTATCTCTGAAGAACATCTTCAAAGCAAGGAATTCCAAAGGCTTTTCATTTCCTCCATTCACAGCACAATTACTCAAAATGTTTCCCAAATCTTCTATTTCAGCGGCAGTTTAAAAGACAAACCTCATGTCAGTTTAATTATAGTGTCATATTTCAGTTTTAGCCTTAAAAAAATTAATCAGATTAATGACATGCATTATGCCAATCTGGTTGTTTTTAAAAATCAATTCTTAAAAGGACAAGAAGTTTGACACGGAAGATAACAGGCTCCAAAAATATTTTAATTAATTTCATTTTACTGTAATTACAGCCTTAAATGGACCATTTTAAAGGTGATGATATTGTTTTTAAATTCCTAGATGTTTACTGTTCAAGAACACAAGGAAAATCACACTTTGTTAGCTCATTTTGCACACCAGTCAAATATCAACTTAAAAGAAGTTCTCTAATTGGAACTGAGCTTTCACTAGTCAGAAAACTATTTTTGCCAAGGAATAAAACGTTACAAGCAGTTTTTGAGTTTATAGGCAAATCAGCAATTACTCTTTTATAAAATGTATATTTCAAAAAGTTGATTTAAATAAAAAATCACTTATTTATACAATTTTTTATTACTTCTTTGCTATTCTGCATCAAAAAACGGAGGGACCAATAAATTTCAAGTGAATAAATGAAAGGTTCTAGGCTAATAGTTATCTTGCTGGTACTTTTAACCAAGCAGAAATGCTACACAGATTTAAATGTGTACTGTAAAACTTCTGTCATTTATTTCAGTTCTTGCTCAAACCAAGGGAGATGAAAACATTCCAGCGGGTTCTATTCCAAGTCTCCTGATGCCTACTTGATACAACATAAAAACCACACAGAATGGAGATGTGATTTAAATCCAGAACTAAATATAATACTTTATCCCCTGTAAAGTCATAACCGGATGGTTACAGAACACTAAATGTTTATGAGTCAAGAGACCTCAGATCCAATCTTTGATTAAATTTCATTCTATTCATTATAAGTTTTCAAGAATAGTTTCTTTAGTATCACAACTCAGGTATTAAAATGAACTATCAGTGTCTATGCTTCAAGAACAAGTCAGGGCTCCAAGACTACAGCAGCAATATCCTAATGGTTCACAAGATGGAGCTGTTATCACACAAAAGATTAAGAACAAAAAACCAAGGATCTTTAAAAATATTACGAAATGAATTAATAGCAAATACAGCTAAAATCACTAATTTAAAATTTGGAAACTATCAAACACTTTAATGGAAGTAACCAAGTGATAAATACAAATAGATCCTCAAAATCACATTGCCTAATAATATTACAAACCTACATAACTCATGGGAAGCAAAGAAAGAAAAAAATCCACCATTATAGGAAATAAAACATCTTTTTGGAAAATGGTAAGATCACTAATGCAAACTGAAACTCCAAAAGGCTGAAGTTGATGCTTTTTAGAAATTAACTGGGCCAAAATAGCAAGGAGTATGCTCTGGGGATCTCAGAGTCTATTCATTCATTTTTTTTTTTTTTTTTCCCAACAAATATATTAAGTACCACTGTTTTGTGCCAAACACTTTCCTAGGCAATTAAGACTAGCAGTGAACAGAACAAAAGCTCTTTTAACTCCCTAAGAGTTAGTTTTCCAAACGAAGTTGTACTACCTTGTAGGCCTGAGGCCTACAAAACTATTAGGTCTAGAAAACTATTAGCTCAGGGCCTGTTAGTCTATAGAAAGAATGTTTAGCACATTTTCAAGTGTATGTTGATGGGGTGATAATTACTGTATTACCGTTTCTTTTCTTTTTTTTTTTAAAGATTTATTTATTTATGCATGCAAGAACTGGGGTACAGGCCAGAGGTGCCGGGCGGGTGGGAGGATTCACCAGAGACAGAGTGGGGAACAGAACAGGCAGACTGACTGAAATACACTGCTGAGGGGAGCAGCAGGAGAGTCAGGAGAAGTCTGCTGCGCCATGTGGGTCACCTCCCTGGCCAGGGGCTGAACTCATGCTGCAATGGCTGCAGATTGCTTCATAATGCTGCAACTTATCCTCTTACACCACCAGAGAGGACCACTGTATTACCTTTTATATGTCAATGAATTTACAGTAGTCCTTATTTGCCATTTTCTCTATCAGTTATTATCACAAGAGGGTGAAATTTAAATATTTTGATATTTAAAAAGGAGGTTCTCCTAATTATAATTTAGGGAGTTGCCACTAGGAGAACAGTGATACTTAGAGGAGTTTCAGGGCAACTGATACAAGAAAATTCAACCAATTACTCCATTCCTAGTTAACACCTTCACTATTAAACATGCATTTTAACTGGAACACTTGTGCACTGTTGACAGAAATGCAAAGTGGTATAGTCTCTGGAAATAGTATGGAGGGTCCCCAAAAAATTAAAAACAGAATTACCATAAGATCTAGTAATTCTTCTTCTGGATATATACCCCCAAAACTGAAAGCAAGGTCTTGAAGAGATATTTGTATACTATGTTCACAGCTTTATTCATTAAACATAGAAGTGTAGAAGTAAGTGTAAATTCATTCATTCCATCAAGGAGTGAATGAATATACAAAATATGGTATATACTCACAATGGAATATTATTCAGTCATAAAAAGGTGGCAATTCTGACACACGCTACAACATGGATGATCTTTTAAGATATTCTAAGTGGGGCCTCCCAGGTGGCACAGCGGTTGAGCGCTGGGTTGCGAAGCTGCCCGCTGCCTCTGCAGCACCGGTTCGAGCCCCGGCTGCTCCCTGGCCACCGGAAGAGGGTCCCACATGGCGCGCAGACCCCTCCTGCCGCCCGCTGCTCCCCTCAGCAGTGTAATTCAGTCCTTCTGCCTGCTCTGCTCCCTGCTCTGGCTCTGGTGAATTCTCTCACCCTCCTGCGCTTCTGACTGTACCCAGTGCTTGCATAAATAAACAAAAATAAAATAAAATAAATCTTAAAAAAAAAAGTTTTCAGTATTAAAAAAAAGAAAAAGATATTCTAAGTGAAATAATTCAGACACAAAAAGTGCTCTGTGAGTCCACTAACACTTGAGGTCTCTAGAGAAATCAAATTCAGAAACAAAGTAAAATGATGACATTTCTCAGATGATCCTCCAGTAGATGGGGGAAGTAAAGAATGGAGAATTATTTTTCAACAGTATGGTTTCAGTTTTGTAAGATAAAAAAGTGTTTTGGCGATGAGGTGGCTATGGCTGCTCAATAATGCAAATACACTTAACTGTATACTTAAAAATGGTTAAGAAAATAAATTGCATGCTATATATATTTTACAATTTAAAAATTTGGAAAAATTATGCATTATAATGTTTCCAACATTTACACATTTAAAAGACTGAGACAAGATTTTGAGGAAATTTGGTACCACCCAGGTAGAAATTCAAACTTTCCCTCCTTAATCCCAACTGGTTTCAACTATTACTTAGCTAAGTCCTAGATTTATTATCTTATTATCCCCATTGTTAGGACTTCTCAGAACTCTGCTTTCCTTCTACTATGCTATTGATTCTAAATTCCAACTATGGCATCAATTTCTCAGCTCTCTGTGTATAGTATTAGAGAAAGGAAGAGGTCAGTAGTCTAGTAGGATTTTGACAAGTTTGCAGGAGGCAACAGAAAAAGCAAAATACAGCCATGTGCTGCATAATGAAGTTTCAGTTAATGACAGCCCATATGATGGTGGTCCCTCTATACAGCCTAGGTGAGTAATAAACAAGGTTTGTGTAAATACACTGTGGTGTTCGCAAAACTAATGACACATTTTTCAGATGTTCCCATCATTAAAACATGAGTTTATAGCTTTAGTTCTGACTTCCCAGAATCAAATATACCAGTTTTACTTCCCAGATTTATAATCATTTCATTAGTAAGATAAGAATGTTAATGTTAAAGACACCCAGGTTCTTCTAAGAAGAGTGGAAACCTAATTTACATTATTCCATTTATCAAAAAGATTTAAAATAAATTGTTTTTAGGGATAGAAGAATGTAACCTACATCTTGATTAGGCTTTTAAACTTCATTGATTAAACATGAGTATTATGACAGTACAAGGATTATAGGTTTCATTTCAAAAATGGTTAGTTTTCTTGTTGATTAAGTCATTATGAAGGGGCTATGGTTATTAGGTAGGCTATTATTACTACATAGTTAAGTATTATTATGATGTAGTTGAGTCTTAGTAGTAAAGTTAAATGTGTCTTTACTGGAGACTTAGGAATACCTCATGACTTATACTGAATCTGAAGCCTACTGAACATGGCTTGCTGTACTGAAAAATTACATTAAGTGGCTTAAATTAACATTTTCAAGTTGACCCATCACATGTTTCTCTAGAAAACTTCAGAAAGACGTAGAAAGAAA